GCTCGCTGGCCCAGCTACGTGCTAGTATTCACAATATGCACAGAGATGTCAGTAATGCGAGGGAGAAGCAAACTTTATTGAGCAAGAAATAGGAGTGTGGAGAAAATTAGTGAATTTTTCGGCTGGAGATTTTGTGCTACGCTCTCGAGTGGATGAGAAACACAAGAGCAAACTTCTAGTTACTTGGGTAGGGACGTACGTGGTGACGGAGGCTCACTCGAGACATTTTGTGGTTAGAGACTTAGTGACCGGCAAGTCACATGACGTGTACGCATCACGGCTGAAGTTCTTTGTCGATAGTGACCTAGAAGTAACTGGAGAATTGCTACAACATGTGACAAGCCAAGGTGTTGTGCTCGATGCGGACACGATTAAGCAGCACCGTTGGAATGTACAACGAAAGGACTACGAACTCTACGTTAGCTGGCGTGGTCTCGAGGATATCGAGGATTCCTGGGAGCCATTTGCTGCTATGGCACGAGATGTTAGAGCTCTAGTGGATATCTATGTTACAGCTGCGGAGAATACACAACTTGCTGAACATTGGACTCGCCTCAGCCGGCCTCAAAGAAGCGGCAGTTAGTGTACGGTCAGGTTCTGACTGTGCACTTTTTCCAAGTGGTCATGATGTACTGTTTGGATATGATTGCACGATTTCAACAGAGCCAAGTTGCAACAAGTCAAGCTGAAGTTCCATGTGACGGGACATTTTTTCGATTGGTGAAATTTTGATTAGCGAATATTTCGAGTAATTTCTACTATGATATTCCAATTTTCAAAAAAATCGAGGGGACACACTTCCAGAAGAGAGACGTTAACGAGTGTCGACGAAGCACAGGATGGAGTTACGTTCACGAGGCTAGATGAGGCTTTAAGAGAGGGGTTTGTAGTGGGTTTAGAGGTTGGATAGCCTCATACAGCTCGTGCAGTGGGCGGCAAGGCAATCTTCAGATCGGCAGTGGCAGGGTTGTCACTGCCATCCTTCGAGTGAATGGCTGGTTGAGAGGCTTGCTGGCCCAAGCTGGCAGATAGCGTAGTAGAAAAGAGAGAGTAACAGTTTGTGTTTTGCTTAATACACCAGGCAAAGACGTGAAGGGAGTGCCAGCTCCCCCATTTTGGTGTTCATTTGCGAGACCCACCACAATTGCCGAGTTTCCTTGAAGGCAGGCGAGCTAGCCGAGGTGGTCGTGCTGGGACCTGAGGAGGAGTTGAACTCCTCATCCGTCGTGGACGACGCGGTCCTATAGACACCAAGAAGGCGCTGAGCACCAGAAGTGGATCGGCGATCCTTAAAGATCCATCGGATCCCTTCTACCCTGGGTTGAAGGAGTATGGAGACGTTGTCGCGAAAGACCCACTGACGGGCCTGCCTCCGGATCGAGGCGTATGTCATGAGATTGACCTGGTTCCTGGAACCAAATACTGCGTGACAAGGCTATGGCACTTGCCAAGAGATCAGTGTGACGTCATTGACCCTTTCTTCCGTGCGAAGCACGGGGCAGGGATGGTGCGGAAGAGTAAGTATCCGCACTCGACCAACGTACTGTGTCAGAAAGCCGAGCGGCAAGTGGCGCATTGCTCATGCTTTCAGCAATTTAAATGCGGCCACCATCCCGGCGCAAACGCCGATTCCTCGCAAGGATGCTCTGCAGAACAACATGGTAGGCTGTACGTTGTACAGCGCACTCGACTTGGTCGATGGATACTACCAATTGCTCATGAGAGTGAGCGACATTCCACTGACAGCGGTTAGTAAGTACTCCGAGCGGTATGCTCTGGGAGTGGCTGGTCATGCCCCAGGGGCTGTCGAACGCACCAGCAACGTTCAATCGTCTTGTGACGCAGTTGTTTAGGCCCCATCGGGCGTACGCTCAGACGTACTTTGACGATATATTCGTCCATAGTCCTGCTGAGCACGGAAGGTCAGACGTGAAGAACCACATTGACCATTTGCGAGCGGTGCTCGAGTGCATGAGTACTAATAAGTCGTATGCCAACTTGGACAAGTGCGTCTTTGGCGCGTAGGAGACACCTTTCCTCGGGTGCTTCATTGGGAAGCGTGGCTTACGAGCAGACCCTGCCAAAGTCAAGGCCATCGTGGACTGGCCGGTTCCCAAGACCAAAAAGACTTACGCAAGTGGCTAGGTTTCGCCAGCTACTTGCACAAGTACAAAGCGAAATACGCAGAGATGGCCCGGCCATTATCAGATCTCCTTAAAAAGGATGCACCATGGTGCTGGAACGTCGAGCACGACGGAGCCTTTGAGGCTGTGAAGGAGAGCCTCCTCCAGGCGCTAATCTTTGCGCTACCGGACCCGGATCGTCTGTTTAGCGTCGTCTGTGACGCCTCCGATTTTGCAATCGGTTGTGCTTTACTACAAGCAGACGCCGAAGGGCGTCAACGCGTAATTGCGTTTTGAGTCTCGCCAGCTGAAAGCTGCAGAGAAGAGCTATCCAGTTTACGACAAAGAGCTATTTGCAATGACGTATGCTCTAGTCAAATTCAGGGTACACCTGCTAGGCTCTAAGCCTTTTGTGATCTTTACTGATCATGCGTCGCTACGCACTGCGACACAGTAGCCTCACCTCTTTTAGAGAATGGCAAGATTGCTTTCCTTCTTTGCCGAGTACAAATTCGAGGTGAAAGTACAAGCCGGGGTGGCTTAATTTAGTGGCTGATGCGCTCTCGCGCAGACCGGACTACGAGATAGATCAAGTCGCGACAGTGACGTCATCAGTGCCTGGCTTGATATGCGGAGCGTATGCACAGGACAGCATGTGCGTAGCGCTGCTACGGGCTCTTGGGAGCGAAGAGCTTAAAGACTCTGACAAGGATTTGTCTGGGTGTCTACGCGCGCGGCTGCATCGATGCCCACTCGATGGCAGCCTGCTGTACTACATCACCGACACTGAGGATAACCCTCGTGTAGTCGCTCGTCATAATGAGGATCTGAAGTATCGAATCCTCTTTGAGGTTCAAGATACGCCCGTGGGCGGGCACTTAGGTCTGGACAAGATCTATGGCTCGGTGAGCTCGATGTACTGGTGGTCCAAGCTGTATAAGTGGGTCGGCACCTATGTACGCACGTGTGAGACATGTCAACGGACAAAGTCCGCGCCGAGCACGGCAGCGCCATAGGCGAGTTTGCCTGTTCCTAAGGGATGTTGGTAGTTCATGTGTGTGGACTTTGAGTGTGGCCCTCTCAAGGATAAGGCGGGAAACACGGGTATTGTGGTCTTTGTAGACCGATCGAGCAAGATGGCTCATCTAGCGGCGGCGCCGGACACCATTGATGGTGAGGGTACAGCTTTGCTGTTTTTAGACCGCTTCTTTCGCCAACATGGCTTGCCTGAGGCAACTGTCTAGGATCGAGACCCGCGCTTTACCGCGAGGTTCTGGACGTCCCTATTCAGAGTGTTCGGCTCGTTTGGACATGTCCACAGTGGACCATCCGCAGACCGACGGTCAAACCGAACGTGCTAATCGAGTTGTGGAGAATATCCTCCGAAGCGTATGCGCTGAGGCGCCAAAATGCTGGAGCCGGATGCTCCCACTCGTTGAGTTTGCATGATATAATGCAGTGCACGCCTCGACCGGCTACACTCCAATCTATGTGAACGGCTTGGTGATCCCTCGCGTCCCACTGACGCCGCCACGCAGTGGCTCAGGGCTAAATGGGGGATGGATAGCCGAGCGGCTAGCTAATGTCAGCCCTGTTGCGGCTCACAAGCAAGTCGATGGCTTTGTCTCTTTGTGACTAAGCGTAATGCGTCAAGTACGCGACGCTGTGGCTGAAAGCCAAGACACACTGAAGAAACATGCAGATGCCAAGGGCAGAAGCAATGTTGAGAGGTTTGAGGTCGATGACCACATTTTATTAAACGCGAAACCCCTACCAACTCATGCATTGTCTGCAGTCTTCAAGACATCATTGAGACCTCGGTTCATAGGACTGTTTAAGTTCGTGGCCAGGAAGGGCCTAGTGTAAACGATCTACCTTCCGAAGAAGCTGCGCACGCATCCGGTCCTTTATGTTGGCTTGCTTAAGCCATCTTAAGACCCTGCTCGGGTGTGCGCGGAGGCGTTGGCGCCTAACGGTAGCTGGTCCACGGACAGCTGCAGGGCGGCAGGTGGTAGTACCACGGGAGGCTGGATGACAGCAAATGGTAGACCCACAGCAGGCTGATCAACAGCAAGTGGCAGAGCCACAGGTCGCGGAGCGAAGTGCTCGAGACGCAGGAGCAAGGCAAGCTGAACGTTCAGCCGAGCGACTGGACGCTCAAGGTCCGGGACCTGGTTGTGAGTCAACTGTGGTGACTGTAACCTATCCACAAGGTGGATCATCTCTTCGAGATCGACCGACGGGCGGTGAACGTGAACGTTCGCGTCGTGAACACTGGCATCGTTTGGACGCAGACGCCGTTTCGGCAAGTGCTGACTCTCCCAGCGAGAGCTCAGCTGAAGCAAGGCCTCCTCCTGTTCTGCTCATTGATCACGGCGAGCTCCACTATCACGTGGAACGCCTTGTGGCGCGGCGTAGACGTCAGGGTCGTACCCAGTACTTTGTGAACTGGAGGGGTTACCTTCACTCACAGAACTCGTAGGAGTTTGAGTTTATCCTCCAGCAAGATTGCCCTGACGCCGTGGACGCTTACGACCGGGCACATCCTGTGCCGAAGCGCCACCATGGCGTGTGACAGCGTCGCCAGGAGCTGGGCGCCTCCCACTAGAGTGGGGAGTGAACAGGTCAGTACTTGAGCTCAGGCTCTGACCAGTGGCTGCAGCAGCCAGCTCGTACGTATGAGCGGTGCTCGCAGCGGGAGCAGGAGGTGGAGAAACCTCGTGGTGCTGGGGACGTGGTCCCGAAGGAAGCAGGTGTTTCGTGCTGTGCTGAACAAGGTTCAGGCTCACGCGTCTCGAAATAGGCATAGTTGTTTTGAAACAACTTGCTCGATGAGCTTGATCCAAATGTGGATGCGCTATAACAGCGAAAGTGGTTTGTCCCGGACGGAGATCGAACCACTGGCCTTTGGCTTTCCAGGCCAGATTTCTACCATTGAGCTATAAAGGCGATGCCCGTAAGTTTGTTCGAGTACGGACTACTCATGGCATGAAAAGGTGGCGGCCGCGTGAGATCGAACCACCGACCTGTGGCTTCCAAAGCCAACGCTTGACCACTGAGCTAAAAGGGTGTTGCCCTTAAGCTTGTCCATTCTAGAACAACAGTTCATGGAACGAGAGGGCTGTTCCCTGGTGGGTTCGAACCACCGACCTGTGGCTCTCAAAGCTAACGCTCATCCATTGAGCTAAAAGGGTGTTGCCCTTAAGCTTGTTCAAGCGTGGAAACTGGTTCATGGAACGAGAGGGTGACGCCCTGGTGGGATCGAACCACCAATCTATCGCTTGTGAAGCGAGTGTCCAACCGCTGAGCTGTTGTCGACAACTCGGATGAGTCAAAAGCATAACACTAAGCGATTTGCAGCTCTTGGAGTAGGCGCGGAGCGCGAGCGTATGTCTGATACCGCTTGAGAACAAGATGTGCGGTGCGCTTGGAGCATTGGGCCGTCGTCCGACGACAAGAAGCTGGACATCAACGATGCGTAGGCGTCTGTGAGCTCGCGGAGATGCACAAGGCTGGTGTGAGGTGTAGTAACCTCCGTCGTCTTGACAAGACGTGTCCTCGCTGAGGAAGTTTTGAGAGCGAGATATTCTTATCTTAGTGGGGGGAGTGTAACGGGGTTACATGGTGTGGAACACATAGGGGTGCGGAGTACCCGGAGAGCTAACAAACTCTCAGTACATAAGTTGGAGAGTTAACAAGGTCTCTCAGTACGTTGGCTGAAAGCCACACGTTATGCATTTGATTAGGTTTAACTATGCTAGAAGGTTAAACAGATATATATACCCCTAGGCGGCTTGGCCGTAAATAAAACACTTCTGGTTTTGAAGCATAAAAGCTAAGGTATTAACTTTGAGTCCTGGTCGTGGACTGTAAGTGTCCTTCGGATATGGAACTTAGTATTAGTGACTCTTTGAGTCAAACGTCTTCCTCTGACACTAAAGCTGCGGCAGCCCCGCAGCAGGTAGCCATAGAGAGGATAGACACCGCCTCCGGCTCTCGGGCTTCTTACGACAAGTCGTGAAGCTCTTCAGAGGGATTCCGTGCGGCGCGAGAAGCACGCACCGGGCCGCTTCCAAGTTGTCGATGAACAGCTGCTGCTTCTGGACCAGGGCACGCTCGTAAACGCCCTTAGAAGTGTGGCCACCGACAAGGTCACGAGGAGCGACGAGGATCTCCAGAAAGAGATCAGCCCCAGAGCTTTCCTCAGGAGGCCAATAACCTATTGAGCTGATGGCAGCTCCCTGGTTGACGGATGTCGCCACCAAACGCCCACGCATGCGCTGGGCAGCCTGGAAGTCCTCCTGCTGCTGGTCGAGGTCGTTCGTGATCTCCCGGGGCTCATGGATAGCACCCTCCTCTTCCTCTTCATCCGAGGAATCGAAGAGGTTACCCAGTCTCCTTCTCCTCGTGGAGTGGAGACTTCGAGGCCGTGATCTTCTTAGAAGGACTAGCGTCTTCGGTTGTGGCTTTGGCTGCCTTAGCACGCTCAAGACCCTCGGCGAGCGAGAGATGTTTGGGAGGTTTCTCCTCCTCGTCGTCGCCAGATTAGGGAGAGCCCTTAGCCTTGATGACAGGACTCTCAGAGCGTACATACGTCCTGGGACTGTGATCTCCGTGATCACTAGCGAGCAAGTGATCAAACTGCCTCGAATGGTCCCGGAATTAAACGAATTGGGTCTTCTTCGAGGAGATTTGAGTCTTTGTTTCATCGATCGTCAGCGTGGGAAAAATAAGGTTGAAAAGTACTGTCGCAGTTTCAGCGACCCTCGAGGCAAAATCATTGATCGAGTGGCTGTTGCCGTCACCGCCGAGTCGCTGATCTGTGCTGCCAGTATCGTCGACTATGCGTATATCAAGAAGCTGACGTGGCTGATGAGGCACAAAGGCGGTCAAAGTGCGTCAAATGAGCATCAGATTCGACGTGATTCTGAACCGCGACCCAAATGTTGCGAAAGCTGTGGCAAAAGTTTTGCCAAATTTTCATTTTCGAGCGCTGGAATGGGTGCAGATTGCCAAATTTGTCGCCGCGTGGTGTGCAGTAAGTGCAGCGTCGTCAAGAAATGACAGTAGATGTGTCGAACACTGGCGCAGTGAAACAATGCGCACTACGGTTCTGTCTCGAGTGTCTACATGAAGCAAAGGAGCTGTAACGGGGTACGTAGCACTAAGTGTACCCTGGTTACATGAAGTGTGACACTTCATACTTCAGGAGTATGACATGTCATACTCCGGGATAAGTGGTACAAGGTACCAAGGTCATTCAAAACCAACCATTGGTTTTATGACATTGCATTTCTATAGGTAACTGATAGTTTGTATTAACCTCAAACTTAACCTACCTATAAATATACTCAGTTTACAATCTACCTTATTTAGGTCACTTCGCTCTCTTTAATTAAAGAGGGGACCTGTGAACTGCCGTTCACTGAGAGTTTGTATACTCTCGGAAGATAACTTCCTCTAGCGCAAGGTGCTGTGTGACCCCGTCACAGGAGCAGTGTGTGTGGGGAATGGCTTTGAGTGGGGTCGACACTGCATCAGAGACGTCGTCAGCTTCTGGTTCGGCGAGATCTGGCCCCTACAGATACAATACGAGAAATTAAAAAAAGTAAAACCACGCTGTTGTCGTCGTTCTCGCTGGGCACTGGAGTGTGCCCTCTCACGGAGCTCACAGGAGCATCGTGAGTGCTCCCGGACTCGGCCTCGTCGTCACTGCCCGAACCGAACTCACGTTCAGCGAACCGCGGGTTCGGCCGGTTGTCTGGAGAGACCGAATGTGACTGACTGCGGCGCTTGCTTGCACGCTTGCTTGCAGCCGCTTCATCAGATGAACCGATCGCCTCCGAGGCCACCTAAGTAGCCTCCTGAAGTGCAGAGCCTTTGTTGCGAGGCTTAGTGCTCTTGACTTGCGCCTTCCCGGCAGCAGCCTTGAAACGAGTTCTCGCACCGCCCTTCGCAATGCCACGGGGCATGCTAAAGGTCGATCTGGAGACCGAGGAGAAGAGCGCTCAAGTGCTGCTCGAGGCTCTATCTGTAAAGTGAGCCTCCGCCGCGTTCGCGCAGCCAAGTCGATGTATTTCGACTTTTTTTTTGAGAATGAGCGTACATTTCCTCATTCTAATTGGTCGGTACAAAGCTGGGCGCCTCTTGCAGGATGAAAACTTTTTAGGGTCCCCTAACACAGCTCTTCGAGCTGCGCCTTACCGTTGTAATGAACTATTTTTTATTAGTAATAAACTAATTTCACGATTATTGTGATAATTCAAAATATTTCGAATACGGTCTTCAGATGAAGTTCTATTACATGACAAAGGGAGTGGGAGATGAACAAAAAAGTGTTATCACATAGAACAGATTTGAAGTTGACAATTCAGGCTGAATTGTTAAATTTCAGCCCGGCTGACAGCCGACTTATGTAGTTTATTATCTTGTACTTAGTACATTTATCACGATTCTTGATGCTCTGTTTTCGGTTCCCGAGGCTCAGCTGCTCCGTAGATCCAATTCTTTTATTACAAACGTTTACCGTCTCTATCAGTTATAGACTCTAATTTAACCGATCTGCCCAGATAAAAGCACCCTCCCTAATAAAGTCACATCTTTAAATTTCGATTTTATTCTTGAATTAAATACAAGCGCTAAGATAAACGTTTTATAATTTCATAAGTTTGGGCACGATGTAACCGTATCGTACCGGGAGTCCTGGCGGGGAAACAAGGTGGGTGAATTATGTTCAGTACACAAAAAATATAAAGGTAAGGTGCCGGACGGACCTTTACATGTGCATGATGGTGATTATCGGATAAGGTGCCATGAGGTAGTGATATTAATAATTTATCACCCTCATGGCACATGTAAAGGATCACCATGATACCCAGGCATGTCCGGCGGACATTGTCCGCACAGGGGTACTGCATTCAGAAAAAGTACAAAACTTCCTTTAAAAGTTTTCAAAAGTACCCCTTAAAAATGAGGGAGGCCAATCAAAGCGGATGTAGGTTTGTTATTAAGGATTACCTCGGGGTGTGAAAAAGTGTGCCCAATCTTGATGCACATACAAAAAAATCAGTATAATCGCCACTCTCCTTTTAGGATTGGACACAATTTTGAAAATACCCACTACGGACACACCTGGGTATCACTGATACCAGCACATATCGACGGAAGACATGGCCTATTAATAGGAATAGGTATATAGATGCACTACCTTTAGTGGGCGAAATAGGTTACCGTATGGCCAAGATAGACTTGAAAAGAGGATCTGCTAAGGATTGGAATAGGCATGGTACCCATATCTTCCGACGATATGAACTGTACACTAACTTTTGATTAGTACTAATATTAGAATTAGTACTAATATTAGAAATAGTTAATATCCTGATATTTATCAGGATACTAATATTGCTAGATAAAGGTGACAATTATTAATACTACCTCCGCTCGGAAAAAGATAACCATTTCAAATTATATTACAGCCTACCCAACAAAATACCCTCTCTATGCCGATCATTTTTTGGATTTCGAATCTCCCGCGCTTTCCCGACCAGACTGGCTCCCATTTTGAAAGCTGGCATCTGGGGGAGATCACAGACAGTGAGCGCCAGGCCATCTGGGAGACCTTACTGCTTCGCAGCGTGGGAGAAGTGGTCAAACATGGAGAGATCGTTCGGGTTGCAGCGTACTTCCGTGTGGGCCGCCAAGTTGTCGAACGAATTTGGAGGCGTGGAATCAATTCGATGGGAGATCGAGTAGCAGCCGTGGTCAAGTCAAGGAAGAGCGCATGTGGTAGGAAGAAGTTGGATCGAGCTGAGCTGTGCGAGAGAATCGCTGCAGTTCCTGTCAATGAGCGCGAAAACCAGCGATCTGCTTCAGCGCGCGTCCAACATGAGCTGCTACCTGGTCAGCAGCTGATCAAGGAAGACTACATACGGCGTGCGCTCAGACAGACC